GCACCAACCTCCATGGTGCCTTCCTGCCAGTCAATGTCCGGGTTGACCCTACGAAGCCAAGGTAAGCCTAATACGACGTCTTCGGGGCCCAGGTCCGTAACTAAGAACTCGAGCCATTCCGTGTAGTCGCCCATAAGTACTTGTAATCTAACGTAATGGGAGATGCTGCCTGCACTGTTCTTGGAGCCGTCGATGTTGTAGAGGGGAATATCTCTAGCTAGCCTATGTAAATAGACGTTGTTCTTCTTTACGAAACGGTGGCTGATGAAAAGGGCCGTTGCCCCACTGTCTATCATAGCTGCGGAACGTACACTACGGTTTCTGCCTTTAAGTATCACACTGACGCGGAAATGTGAGCTGGATGGGTTTAATTCGGGGATGATACACGAACTAACACTATCGTACAGGCAGGGGTCAGGGATCTGCGGAGGCAAAGAGTCCGTAGTCGTACTGGAGGGCGCCGCTGCGGCAGCTTTCACACGCGCCCGCTCTAAAAAGACTTCTGCAGAGAGGCAAGCTGGTCCGCGAGGGCCTTCTGCTACTCCATGAGCTGCGCGATGAGGGCGTTGGTTGCTCCGGCGTCCGCAGACGTGGACATCGATGCTGCGACCTGGAGTTCCTCGGGTCCCTCCTCTGTTGCAGCGAGCTTCTGCGAGCGGGGCTTCTTCAGGAACTTGTCCATGCACACTGTCTCGCGGTGCCCTACACGGCGACAGTAACTGCAGATGTCCCGATCATGGCCTCCGTCCTTCTTGACGTGCACCGTAGACCCGCAACTGTAGCACTTGCCGCGCATGAGGCGGTTGAACTCTTCGCGCGTACGGGTCGCGTTGATGTCCATTGCATTTGGGTCTCTGGCAGGCGGTGTGAAGGGGGTGGTGTGCAGCGGTACGGCCGGCTTGGTCGCTGTGGTGGTGGTGGTGGTGCGTCCGCGCTGGCGTTCTCGTTCAGCACAGCATTGGCGGACACGGACGTCGATGTCGGAGGAGACGGTGATGAGGTCCTCTAGAGAAGCGATGGGCCTCGCTGTGTGCACCAACTTGTCCTTGATGGAGTCCGCTAGGTGTTCGTAGAAGCGGTCTCAGAGGTCGGCCTTGGAGTAGCCCGTGCGGGTGGAGAGCTCGTTGAACCGTGCGGCGTACTCCGGGACAGTCATGGAGCCTTGCCACAACCTGCGGAGGCGTTCCTTCGCATCGACCGCCTCGTCGACTGTCTCGAAATGGGCCTTGAACTGGGTGTTGAACAGGCGCTGGTTTACACAGCTTGCCTAATACAGCCGTCACAAGATATGGAACGGCACAGCCGGTTACTGCAATAACCGAGGCTGTACTACTCATGTGGTACACACACAGCTTTGCTGTGTACGCACTGCTTCTCTGTGCGACTGTGCATCCTGGGAATGTACTGTATAGTACTACGTAGCCACAGATGTACAGTAGTATATATAGGGGACCTCTGTACCCCCAATCTACAGTTCAGTTCACTCGAACATCTCCTCTCATCGCTCTAACAAGCCTCTTACAA